GATGTACAATACATAGGAAACATTAGTTTTACTGTGCAAAAGAATACACACACACATATATCCCGTTTATTGAGATATAAATATTTTAAATATCTCTCCTGTTCCAAATGTATGAGGATGCTTGGTCTCTAATGTAAAGCTGACTCCCATCCTCCTCAAGTTTAGAAGCCAAGGATGGAGGCAGTACCTGTACCGCTTGCGCTCCAGAGCAAGAGAGGTGCTGGACCACCGCTCCCTGCACACCGCTGGCTTTAGGAAGAGGGAAGGTGGGGGACCTACAGCTTTGGAGGCTCCCGTCAGGTGCTGGCAGGCCACCCTGGGCAGGGGCGTCGAGACAGGGCCCACTGAGTCCCCTTCCATCGCAGCCTGCTCCCTGCAGGGCATGTTCTGCTCCAGATTCCAGAGCGCTGTGCCCTCTTGGGTTTTGCCTTTCCAGACCCCTTGTATTGGGACCTCGCAGATACCATACCAGCCCCGAACACACTGCAGAGCAGAACACAGCCTCCAGCCTCCAGCCTCCAGCCCTGCACATCTCGTCCTGCTCCTGCCAGGAAGTAGGGCGCAGGATACCCCTGGACTTGGCAGCAGGCGCAGGCTCTATGGCCACAGCCTGGGGCTGGCTTTCACCAGTGCTTCCGTGTGGTTCGTGGTGGCTCTGCTGGTTTCCCGGGCCCTCAAGCCCAGGCACATAGCTGGCTGTCCCCACAAGCATTCTTCATTTGCTCTGGCCAGGTTGTCTGGGAGCCCATGTCCCCCTTGCAGGGAGTCAGCCCTCATGTAGCGGCCCAGTTGACAGCACAGCACAAGGCAGGGGCCTGGCCGCATTTCTGCTCTGCTTCTCCAAGGGGAAGGAAGCCTCCACTTCAGCCAGCCCAGCCTCACCACAAACCCAAGCCTCCTGTAGATGAGCACCAGCCTGCAGGCTCCCATGCTTTGCCACGGTCTAATTCTGTGGTCTCCAGAGCTGGAAGATACTATGTGCTTGAAACGGGACCTGCAGGCGGCTGCACCATGGGCCTTGGCATTGACTGCAGGCCCTGACACTTGACTCTTCCACTCCAGACCAAGGAAGCTGATGTTCTTGGCAGGAAGCACACCAAGCTCCACAGGTGTCAGGCTGCAGTGACTGGGACACCATCGCAGGATGAAACACCTTTCCTATCCTGGCCATATCAACTTTACTAGCAAAGGCTCGCTGTTTTGTTCCCGGTCTCTCTGGGCCCCCACGCCATGTGGTGCCCCACGTCCAGGGGGCACAGGTCCTTGGAGCAGGCTTTGCTCTGGTTGGCAGGGTCCTGAAATGCAGACCAGTTCTGTAGGCTGCTTGGGAACAGGTGGAGCCCTAATGCCCCCTCCACAGCTGGGGGCTGCAGTTCATACCCCGCTGCTGTTAGTCTCCACCCTTCAGACTCCCTGGATCTTCATGCAACTCTTTCGAGTTGGGCCACAGTACACCACTGCATGCTCAGGGCCTTCCACAAGGGTCCTGCAGGACAGTGGCACTGTGGCAGGCTGGTGACAGGAAAAACAGGGCTCAGGCTACCCCACCTAGGGCACCTGCTGCACCTAGGATGCTGTCCCCACCTACAGGGACACAGCCAGGTGAAAAGGGTGAGCTCAGGCCAGGTCTGCTTTGTGCTGGAGTCTGTGGCTTGTCCCCCATACCCCTGCTCTTCCCAAAGAGGTGGGCCTTGTCTGCACCTCCCTTCTGCTGCTCAACAGCCCAAGGGCAGGGGCCTGTGCTGAAGTTTTTCCACAAAGAGGACCAGCCTGAGGGCCCAAAGGCCTTGGACAGTGTCCAGAGGTGCCATCTGGGAGACAGTGTTAGGCCAAGCCAGGGGACAGGGTTGTTGGGCCCAAAACCAGGGAGACTGAGGCTCAGCTTCAGCGGGCCGCCTGGGGAGGTGGGCACCGCTGGCCCCATCCAGTGGCCCAGAATACCAGGAAGGGCTGGCAGTGCTGGTCTGGGAGGCTCTCCGCTGCAGTGCAGCCGTTTCCAGGGTTGTGGAGGAAATAGCAAACGCGTCATTTTGTTTGTTTTTGTGGCGGAACCGGAGATTGAACTCGGGCCCTTGCGCTTGCCAGGGAAGTGCTTATTCCACTGAGCCATCTCCCCGGCCCCTGCAAACGCATTATTGTTCTACTCAGTGCTTTGCACAGTTCCTCATAAAGGCAGCGCCCTTGTCTGTCCTGGCATGGCTGTGGTTGGCAGGTGAGGCTGCCTTCTAGCACCTGCTCCATGGCAGAGTGGCCCTCCATGAGCCAGGCGGGTGCCCTGGAGGCTGGCCCGCAGGGGCCAGAACCTGTGCCCTTTCCTGGTCTGCCAGCTGGTTGGTTCCCTTGAGCTAGCAGGGTACTTTTGGTGTTTTATTTTTTAGTACCTCTGTGGAGTACCAGTTTGCTGTAAGTACATCCATCTATTTCTGGGTTCTTCGTTGTGTTCCATTGGACTGTGAGTCACTGTTCATGCCCGTAATGCACTACTGTATTTTTGTGTATGTGGCTGACTCAGCCTGCCCTGGGAGGGCAGGAATCGAACCATGGTCCCTGTGCTTGCTTAAGCTTGCCTAAGCTGGTGCTTTAGACCACTGAGCTATCTAGCTGGCCCCTGGTGTTTTATTTTAGGTGGGTTTTTTTTTTTTTTTTTTCCAACACTGGGATGGAACCCAGGGCCTCACCCTGCTAGCCCAGTACTGATTGGAGCTTCACCCAGCTTCCTGGGGTGCTTTTTAAGGAGGGGCCTGCTGGGCCTGCTGTTGGCACCTGAACACTTCACCTCCCCTGTGCTGCCCCTCGGAACATCTCACCACCCTGCACTGAAATCTCTGCCAACCCTACAGTTGTATCTCTGAGCCTTTCTGGTAACCTAAGGACATGGCTTGCCCTACCCAAAGCACCCTGCCTGACGCACTGTGCCAGCCTCCACTTGGGCGGGCAGGAGGCAGACCTTGAGGCCAGAACTGAAGTAGAGCACAAGATGGGCCAGCCCAGCCCAGTGTACATCCAGTGGAACCTAGGTGGGCCCTGCCCTCCAGACAGCCCTGTGACACAGTATGAAGGTGTCAGCAAGCCCCACCCCCACGAGGACACTATTACCTCCTACTTACAGCGGCACTGCCGCCAGGCCCTGGGGCCAGGTCCAGGCTGAGCCCAGCCCATATTGCCTGTCTAGTGCTGTAGAACCTGAAATGCCAGTTACCATCCCTGGGTCCCTTTTGGCTGGCATGTTCATGCTGTGCTGCCCAGGACTGTGGCAGCAGGCTGGTGGATGGTGGAGAAGATGGTGTCCTTGGGGAGGTCACCCCCTCCAGGCCACCATGCAACCTTGTGAACTGGTGCCCTCAACGTGTGAGCCAGTGCAGGGTCAGAGCTTTGGACCCTGGCTGCCTCAGGCACAGCCAGGTGCTGGGAAGAGGCTGCCCCACTCTCAGGCTCACAGAGGTGCAGAGTGAGGTGAAATAGCTCCTTTATTGTTAGAACAGATGGTTCTCTACTGCCCTCCCAGGGCCCCCCTGGGACCCTGTGGCCAACCTACAGCCAGGTTTCCAGCTTCACCTGAGCTTCCTTCCTGCTCAGCAGGAGGAAGGAGTGTGGGCAAGCCTCGGGGACTGAGGGCTTGGCACTCCCAAGACAGGGCTGGGCAGGGCTGCCAGCTTCACAGCTTCCTGGTAGCAGTAGGCCCTGTATAAGGCACCATGTGGGGCTGGGCCCTGTATCCGAGGCCCTGCAGCCCCTGTGGTCAGGCAGCGGCTGGCCAGGTACATGACACATGCATTGGTCCCCAGGAGGCTGACAGGCACAGTACCCAGGGTGCCAGGCGGGAGAGCCTGGCTTGGTGCTAGACGTGGCCTGGAGCTCCAGAACGCTGGCGTCTCTGGTCCTCAGCAGTGCTGGATGCAGATGTGCACGAAGAGTGTGGCAGGGGACAGTGGGGCCCCATCTCTGGAAAGCAGGTGGATGTGGCGGTACCCTGTGAGGTCAGCTGGGTGTCAGGTCCTTGGCTGGCTCCGGACTGGGTAGGGCAGGCAGCCTCGAATGGGGGCCCAGCCACCACTGCCCACCTTGCTGGAGGCTGCTCAGGGGCAGTGTGCACTGGCCCACAAAGTCGTTGGGGGAGGCAGTGTCATGGTCCTCCACCACGAAGCGCACCAGGGCCAGCTCTGGCACCCGCAACAGGAACTGTAGGGTCTGCCCCCAGCGTGGGTTAAAGCCTGGCAGGAGTGCATGGTCAGGGTGGCTGTCCTCCCTGGCTACCCGCCTGCCCACCTGCCCCCTGCCCAGCTCCCACCGTTGTCAAGCACATGGCCAGTCTCCTTTCGCGCGCAGTCAGCAGGGACTCCATGTATCTCCACGCGTACCAGGGGGTCCACAATGGAGCTGGGCTTCTCCGCATTCAGCTTGGGCAGCTGCTGGGCAGTGAGCACCTAGGGAGGGCAGGCAGTTCCCATCTGTTGCCCAGCACCCATGTCCACCTGGTTACCAAGCAGACATAAACACCCAGGCTGTGCCTGTCCCCTCTCTTTTTTTTTTTTTTTTGGGAACCAGGGATTGAACTCAGATCCTTGCGGTTGCCAGTCAAGCGCTTATCCTACTGAGCCATCTCCCCAGCCCCTGTCCCCTCACTTTCCATCAAGACCAGTGCGTCTCAGAGCAGCTGAGACCCCCGCCAACCTGGACTGTTAGTGTGGTGCTTGGGGGCCCAGGGCACCCCGGATCAAACGCTGAGTTTGGCTGTCGCAGGCAGCGGGGCTTCAGGACATAGCCACACCGCCCGTTGACCAGGAAGCGGCCTGTGTTGAGGTCCATCTCATAGCCTGGCGTCTGGAAGTTCAGGGCCACTGTGGGCAGCAGAGTAGGGCAGGGACTGTTGGTAGCCTGGCCCTGCTCCCTGTGCAGGGCCAGCTGTGTGGGACAGCACCTAGCTGGCCTCCCCTGCACCTTCTCCCTGCTTTCCTTCCGGCTGCAGGGTGGGCGGGCAGGGCGCTGCAGGAGCCCTAGGGCCAGGCCCTGTGTCACCCATCTTCACAGAGCCGCCCCAGCCCACCCCAGCCCAGCAGGCCTCACCCAGCTGACAGCCCGCATTCCACATCTCCTGGGGGCTGTAGTTGGCAGAGTTCATGCGCAGCCCCAGCGGGTACACACGGGTCAGCTGGTGGGTGTTGTGCCGGACAAAGCTGTTCCCTGAGAAGAGTAGGGCAGGGCTGGGCCGGGGCAGTGGCCTCCTAGAACCTCACAGAGGCTGCGTGGGCCAAGAGGAGCAGGGCAGCTCTGCACACCTCCAGACCCACACCCTCTCTCCTCACCAAGACCAAACAGGCCCACAGGGAACCTGTTCCTCTGGGTTGGCGACCCCTGCCCTCCTCCGCTAGCCGCTGTCCTCCTCCCTCTCCCCCAGGAAGCCCTGCAGGACACTCCTCCTGCTGGGCTATTCCTGGCCAGGCTCCCACCATCCACCCTACTCCCTCCGTAGCATCCCCCACTCCTCCCCTTATGCCCACTGTGCTCGGGACTGGCTCCTACCTGCCTCCCGCAGCAGCTTCCGGGCTTTGCGCTCACTGAGGGAGCTGACCTGGCAGGGCCTGGCCAGGCCGGGGCTGGGCTGCAGGGCCCGCAGGCGGGTGGCACAGCAATACACAGCCAACGCTGACAGCTCGGGGGCAACCTGACCAGCCTGGGACCGGGTCTCTGTGGGGGCCCCTTGCTCCTCCTCCTGCTCCTCCCTGTCTGACAGAGAGCAACCATCCTCGGCCAGCTTGGCTGGCAGCCTCCTTCCTTTCACGAGCACCCGGCCCTTCAGTTGCTGTGGAGGTCAACAGGGACAGGTGAGGCCTCCTCCCTTCCATAACCACCGTCAGTCATTCCACCACCCCTGGGAGACGGGGATGGGGTGGTGGGAGCCCCAGAGAGGGGAAAGGGTCTACAGGCCTTGGGAGGCCCCAGCTGAGTCTGTAGGTCTTCGGAGGCCTTGAGTACCAGGTCAGAGAGAGCCAGGCACGGAGTGACTGATGGGCAGCCCCCAGATCACCTATCTACAGACAACAAGAAGTGTCACCTCAGGAGAAGGCAGCTCTTTGGGGTCCTGGGAGCCCAGTGTCTCTGTCACTAGCATGTCCCCCAGGATGGTCCGCAGGTGGCGAGCCATGACAGACTGCTGCTCCAGCCCACAGTGGTTCTCGAGGGACAGGATGACAGGGTAGGGGGACAGCTGTGGGGATGGGGACAGCACTCAGGACAGGTGGCCCCAGCCCAACCCCATGCATTTCTTTATGATTCTGGGGACTGAACTGAGGGCCTTGCATGGAGCTGCATCCCTGCCCCTTCCTTCTACTTTGTAAGTTTTTGAGATAAGTTCTCAAAAAATTGCCCAGCCTTGCCTTGACGTTGCAACCCTCCTTCCTCAGCCTCTTCAGGAACTGGGATTCCAGGCTGTGCCACTAGCCATGCTCCTGACATGTTAATGCACGTACAGAGCTAAGCTGCAAATGCCTGTGGTCACTCCCTGTAGCTGGACGGAAGTGCAAGTTTACACAGATGCCAGGCCAAACTTTCAGGATGCATGTGCCTTTTCCTACCCTACAGGAGGCACAAAGAGTGACACCTTCGTCCGTCCTGTCCCGCTGTCCCTGGTCCAGCAGCGCCTGGGCAGGAGGGCTGCCTTGAGGGTCATCAGGGTGTCCAGTGAGGGCTCACCGTGAAGGCGTGGTCACGCACGGCCTGGATCACATCTCGGAAGAGGATCTTGGAGGTGAGTGTGTGGCCGTGGTAGATGACTGGCTCACCGCCTGGGCCCTCCCAACAATCCAGCTCCACACAGCGGCAGCCCTGGGCAAAGGCCCTGCACACAGACAGGCAGGCAGATGGATGCACAGGTGAGATGTTGGGCCGTGGGCAGCTGGGGCAGCGCTTCTATCCCTCCCCGGAGCAGCACCTGATGTAGGCCTCGGTGCTGCTGAGACCACCAATCTGGGAGTCAGTCAGGTAGGTGTTGTGAGAGGAGGAGATGAAGTAGTGTGCGAGGGGCTGTCCCATGTCCTGGAACACGGTGGCATGTGTAGGGTCCAGGGCGGCCCCCTCCGGTGATAGCAGGTACATCATGAAGCCATCCAGGGTCATCAGCTCATGGTGCTTGGCTACAAGGAAGAGCAGAGGGTGTGGGCCCAGCGGTCCTCCCCACCCAGAGCCCTGCAGGTTCCCTGAACCCTGGAAGACCCCCAGAGGCAGAACGCCTTGGCCTACCCACCTGTCTCGTGAAGCTCATAAGTCTGGATAAGTCGCCGCGCGCAGGCCAGCGTGGCACCCGCCTCTCCCTGGGCCTCCAGGAACTCCCGCAGCTCAGGGGCGCTCAGCACGAGGTCTTCGCCAGAGAACCGGCAGAAGATCTCCTCCAGCTCAGGGCGCTTCAGTAGCAGCCGCACGAACTCCTCAATTTCAGCTCCCTCCAGCCGCTCATCATTGGACCGGTCACACTCCTGGCATGCAGGGGACCTTAGGGGGACACGCCACCCCACCCTGTCTCGCAGTGGCAAATGCAGGGCTTGGATTCTGGAGGTCTTGTGGGCTCAGCACCACACTCCATCCTGAGAGCCAGGATGCAGGCGGGACATGGTGACCCTGGGGAGGGCTGAGCTCTGTAGGTGCCACAGTGAGGAGTGTGCACAGAGTGACCAGCCTCACACACATTCACACCCAGCCAACGAGCAGTAAGTGAGAGCTCACAGCTGTGCACAGCTAGGGCTCCTGTGGCTCAGGCTCACGGGTCATGCACCCAGTGTCCAATGCAAGGGTTCTCCACTGAGTCCCCAGCTGGTCTGCACTGGGTCCCAGAGCACACACAGGGAATGGGAGGGAGCCACACAGGCACTGGAGGGTGCTGCTTAGAGGGTGTGCCCTTCCCTGGCTGGGGCCTTCAGAGGACAGGTCACCAGGCCAGGTGTGGCCCTCTGCCTTAGGGGCATCTCAGATGCGGCGGGGTGGTGGGGTACCACGGCTCACCTTGAAGAGGCGGTAGGCGTACATGTCGTTCATGTCCACGTTGACCATGCGCAGCAGGCCCTTGACCTCCTTGAAGCTCATCTTGCTGTCCTGGTTGGAGTCTGCCCGGCGCAGGTAGGAGTGGATCCAGGTGCAGGTGTTCAGGAAGGAGTCAGAGGATGTGGGCCCAGCCCAGCCCACCCCAGGGCACCGTAACGCTGCCCTGCAAGTAAGTGACAGGCGCTTCCCCACCCAGCTCGGAAGGATATTGGTCCAGGAGCTCGTGCTGGCTCATGGCCTCCAGCCGGGCCCGCAGTTTGTCCAGGCCCCGTACCCAGCGCTGCGCCTCCTCTGCCGAGCGCGCCACCAAGTCCAAGTTCTTGCGTTGGCCGCGGAAAGCAATGGTCAGGCAGCGCGCAGGAGGAAAAGCGGCTCCAAAGCGCCGCAGGCCCTCGGACTGGTGGCCCTGGCGCACCGCTTCGATGTGCTGCACGAAGACTGGGGGGGTGTTAGGGCCGCCCCGCCCCGCCCCGCCCCGCCCCGCCCCGCCCCTCCTGCTACTCACAGATGTGCCTTGAGGGCGCTCGCGGGAAGCGCCGCTGGAACCACACGCTGAGCCCGTCCTCCTGCAGGCGGTACAGCCGCTCCTTTTGCCAAGTGCGAGAGCGGATCTTGCACAGCCTCGAGCCCCGCAGCATAGCCAGCACGTCCTCGTCCTCTGTGAGGCCTGTGGGGGCAGGACGTCAGAACCCTGCCAACCCAGCACCTGCAACGCAGGTCCCCACAGGGCCATCCAAGCCGCCCAGGTATGGGCTGTCTCCATCCAGCCTACATCTCTTCGCTGCAACCCTAGCTCCTGGCTGCGGCTTCTCAAAGATGAGTGAGGGCAGTGGAGGGTCTCCACCGAGGGCAGGGCCACCCTGCCCGGCTGCTCCCTCCACCCCCCTGCTTGCTGTGACACAGCAGGGCACAGGCCTGGCCAGGGGGTGTTGGGAACACACAGAACTTATGCTCCAGGCTCTGGGCACGGACTCTGCACAGTCTCAGGTACCTACCTGTCCCTGGCTGCACTAACCAAGACAAGCAAGAACTCAGGGTCCAGAGGCTGGGCCAGCCTAGCAGGAGTCCACCTCAGGGTTTTGAACTAGAGGAGGACCCAAGGGGCACAGCAGGTGGGGGCTGGGCTACTAGAGCACATGAGGGACCTGTGTGTGCTGCCATGTTTTTTAATGTTGGCAACTGAATCAAACTGAAAAGGCAACCAGAACCACTGCTTGGACCAAACAGAACCTGGCCCAGAGCCTCTGCCTCCCTCTACTTAACCCCTCCAATGCTAGGTTTGGCCCCAAGGTCCCGCTTGCCCAACTGCAAGCTCTGATCTAAGAAACTGCACCTAAATCCCCAGGCCTTCCCCACTGCCCCCTCACAACCTGTGCAGGGGCCCCCTTGTCATGGTTTGTGTCTAGTTGTACCCTCAAAAGCCTCATGCAGTCATGAATCAGTTTCTGGAGTTTGTTATTGATTTTTTTTTTTTTTTTCGGTACTGGGGATTGAACTCAGAGCCCTGTGCTTGCCAGGCAGGTGCTTATTCTACTGAGCTATCTCCCCAGCCCTTGTGATTGATTCTTGATCCAATGCTGAGGTGATGGGTGTGAGTACCCTGGGGTAGACACTCTGCAGTAGAGTGTAAGGAGGGGAGAGAGGCTAGGTAGCTGCCTGAGCTGCTGCCACTCCTTTTGTTTTCTCTGCTCTTTGCTACCACCATGGATGTTCTCTGTCCAGTGCCACTCTGGCTTGGAGCCAGCAGAGTATGGACTGAAACCTTCAATAACTTTGAGCTAAATAAACTTTTCCTTACCTCATC